AGCAACTTGCCTGTGAAGTATGTTATATATAAAAGGAATTCTTTTTCTTATAAACCTAACTATAAATTAGTAAGAGTAAAGACAAAGTTTAATTTACATGTAAGTAGCTATAAATATTCTTTAGTTACTTAACAAAGAGTAGGAAACCTGTCTGTATAATACTGTTTAGAGGTATTGTACAAATAGTAGTGCTTGTTTAATGCTAGGAGGTCTGTTTTATCTTTTTACATACAGCTATTTAAAGGCAGCGTACAACAAGAAGTAAGACAGCGCGCAATAACATATAACTAACTACTATAAAGTAACAAGCAACACTAGCTCTATCTTTAACTCGCTAATATAACATATTAATATATAACTAATATATACCTTTTATAGGCATTTTAGTAAAGACTTTAGTAAAGTAGATAAATATTAAAGATTAAGTAAATAAAATTAAACTATTAGATAATACACTTAAAAAGAAGCTTAATTTATACATAGCTAACTTAATTACAAAACTCTGTGTATTAAGTATAATAAGTATATAAACTTTTAAAAACTTTTAAAATAACTTTATAAAGTAGAAGCTTATAGACTTTAAAAATCTTAGCTAACTATTTTTATAAAAACTAATTACTACTTTATAGAATAATAGCATTAGTTTTAAAAAGAATAAAATAAAAGTTATTAGACTATATAAACTTATAAACAAAGAACACGCTTTTACTACTTTATTAAACTACTATACTAAACTATTACTACTAGCGCTAGTTCTAACGCTATAGAGGATGTCTTTATATAAATTACCTACAGACCTAATACTTTCTCTACAACTAGTATAACTACTTTATAATAGCTTACTGCATAAAAGCACAACTAGGTAGCTACATATTCTTATAGCCACAGCTCTACACAAGATTCCCTAAAGCTTGTACCTACTATATATAATTTAATTACTATATAATCTATACTAATTTCTACTTATATAAGATATCACAGCAGAGAACCTTAGGCCTAAGAAGGTTATATAATTCTAGATAGCATAAAGAAAAAAGAACAACTATATAAAATAACTATATAATATTCTAACTAATAAGGCTATAGTATTTATTAAGCTCTACTAACGCCTTATTATTTATAAGGCTTTATATATAAGCATCTTCTCTAATATTTTTAAAGGCTGCGCATATATATTCTACCTTTATAATATTAGTTCTAAGAAGACATAAAAGATTTAATATAACCAGCTTAGTAATTACTTTAATACTAACATAAATTATAACTAGTATTAGCTAAATTAGATTATAATAAGCTTTACATAAATTAAGTAAAAAAAACTTTATAAAAGCGTTATATAAAGCTTTTAAAGCTATAATTAATAAGCTTACTTTTATATAAAAAGCTTTTAGTCTATAATTCTAAAGCAAGATACTGCTTTACACTGCTAGTATATAAGTATGCTAACAACTTTAGCTTAAATAGGCTCTGTTTTTAATTAAGCTTGTATATAAGCCACTATATAGTAACCTCTATTTAGCACTTTAGGTTATAATTAATTAGTAGAATAACACATTTCTAAATAAACTAAAAAACATGTACTATACTAATAAAAGATATAACTTTTTTTATATAATTAGGTATTAGTAGTTATCTCTAATTCTAATAAGTTATTAGTAGTCTCTAAGTTTCTACCTTAGCGCATTTTTAACAACTTTTCTAAAGGCAATTCTAATTGCAGGGGATAGGAAGTTCTAAACCTAAAGGCTTTAGTTAACTAGAGGTTAATAGAATCTAGTCTATAGACTAAATAGTTTAATATAACAGTGTGTAAGTATTACAACCTAAACTAAATTAGACGCGTCTTAGGCTTAGATATAGTTAAATAAATAATGAGTGCAATATTATAATAAGGCTGTTACTAGCAAAAGCAAGTTTTCTAATATAATGTAACAGCACAGGCAAGACAATAGGTCTAAATGCAGTAGGAATCCACTTACAGGCATATAGAAGTGCGTGGGGACTTGGAACCTAGGAATGCTATTAACACCTATAGGCCTTGTACAAAAGGATATTAGAAAACTACTAAGCTAGCTACAGGGGCGAGGTGCGACTAAATACATAGAGGAATAGGGGTACAGTAGGGGGCAGGGCAGAGTCGGGGCCAGGTCGAGTCAGGGTCGGAGCTGATACGGGGACCCTTCGGATAGGTTCCGGGCGACCTGAGATAGAACAATTCATGAGAATCGTTACAGTAAACAGTGGGTAGTAGAGGTAGATTAGGGTACTAGCATAGGTGTAGGTTAGAGTGTGTGATAACAAGCACTGTCTCTACTACTGTATAGAGCTAGGGAAGCAAGGTAGAGTAGGTCGGCTCTATTTCAGCTAAACTAGGATAGGGAGTGAAGGAGGCGAAGGGTTTTCGCAAGAGAAAAGCTTGAGCAGCGCCAAGGCGCTAGCGCGCTCGTTTAACACTTAGCAAGATCATGTGACTAGCAGCGGAGCTTAACAAGCAGCACCGTCACAGAGTGTACTAAAATAGTATACTGCCTTAGATGTATTACTAGAAACTTTTTAAAATTAATTTATAATAAGTCTAGTATTAAAATGTTAGATGTAGTTAATAGTTTACTTTAAAATAGTAAAAGTGTTTCTTTTTTCTATATTATAAGCTATTAGGTAAGCTACTATTATTTTAAAAAAGCCTTTTTAAGTATGTTTAAAACTTAAGTTTAGTTCTTTTAAGCTAGGCAGTATTTTTTTTTATAAGTAGAAAAACTATTTTAACTTTAATATAAACTTTTTTATAGCAGCAATAATAAAGTAAGCTTTAAAGGTAAAAAAAACTTTTTTTTTACTTATTTTTAGTATTTAAAACACTTATTACACTTTTATCTTTTTATTACTAGTAATAAAGTAAGTTTATAAACGCTTAATTATGTTTTTTTATATTTCTAAACTAAAAGTTATTTAATTTAGCTTAGTATCTAGGCTCTAGTTATGCCTTTGCAATACTAGCAGTGTGTCTCTATACTAACGCTATGCGTGCACGCTTACTCTAATAGTAATCTAAATTAATGTTAAGTCTATTTATAATAAAGGCTTACTATTATTTAAATGTAAGTTTTTTACTATTTATAAAGTTTTTAATCTTAGGCGTGTGTTTAGTAAAGTAGCTTTAAAAATGCTTAAAAGTGCTTAAAAAGTCTTTTACTATTAAAGTAGTAAGAGTAATTTAAGGTAATATTAGAGGCGATTTAGTAGCTAGTAGAGGTTAATTAAGACTAATAGTTTTTAATTTAGTTAGCGGCTTAATTTATACTTTTAATTAAGCTACTTAGTTTTTAAAATGTATGTTACTATAGTTTAATTTTAAATTTAGTAAGTTTTTAGGTTTAGGTTCTATAAAAAAAGTTTAGCTATTAAGGTTAGTAGTTATTTAGCTTTAGTAGTAAGCATTTTACCTTAGCTATAGCTAAAGCATGTTGCTAATTTTATACTAAGGTTTAAAAGTAGTTAAAAGTTAAGCATTAGTAGTTATCTTTAATCTTAATAAGTTATTAGTAGTCTTTAGGTTTTTACTTTAGCGCACTTTTTATAACTTTTCTAAAAGTAATTTTAATTATAAGAGATAAAAAGTTTTAAACTTAAAAGCTTTTATTATTAAAAAGGTTTTAAAATTTTATTTATAATAACTAAATAATTTAATATAATAGTTTATAAACACTATAACTTAAACTAAATTAAACACTTTTTAAAGTTAAATATAGTTAAATAAATAATTAATATAATATTATTAATAAAGCTATTACTAGTAAAAGTAAGTTTTCTAATATAATGTAACAGCATAGGTAAGACAGTAGGTCTAAATGCAGTAAGAATCTACTTAGAGGCATATAGAAGTGCGTAGGGACTTAGAACCTAGGAATTTCTATTAAAACCTATAAGCTTTATACAAAGGATATTAGAAAACTACTAAGCTAGCTAAGAGAAGAGGTGCAACTAAATACTTAGGTAAATAGGGGTAACTGCAGGGGATAGAGTTAAGTTATAGTTAGGGTTAATACAGGGACCCTTTAGATAGGATCTAAGCAACCTAAGATAGAACAATTCGTGAGAATTGTTACACAAAGTAGGTAGGGTAGAGGCAACATGTTTCTAGTTATTACTCTGTCTTTTTCCTTTGTACAAAGGAAAAGGGGAATATCTACATGTTTGTGCACAGAGGTTCGCGCACAAGCATTATGTAACATAGTTACGTGATTCTTCTTGTGCGCAATAACTAGTATCTAGACTGTAACGCTGCTGCTGTGTACAGATAATAAGCTTTATTATCGGCTAAATATTTACTAACTATTCTTACACTTAAAGCTTTACTTTAAGCTTTAAATAACATGTTATAAATATACTAGACTAGTTTATGCTAATATAGCTTAGATTATGCTTATTAAGTAAAGAATTAGCTATATTAGCTATAGCTACTAGCTAAAAGAAGATTCTTACGCATATAGCTTAAGTATATACTTAATAATTACTTACTTTTTATAATTATCTAGATTTAATAAGTTAGCTATAGCATTAGCTTATAAAGGTTATCTAGTACATTAGTTATTTATTATTTTTTTAAAAAACTCTGTACATAGCTTTAGTATATTACTTTAAAAGTGTTATATTTTATTTAAAAGCTTAGAGTATAAGCTATATCTAACATTCTTTTAGCATATCTACGTTGTGTTGTTAGAAATGTATTAGTATAGAAAAAGTTAATTAGTAGATGTATTAATATTAAACTTAAAGCTGTTAAAATTTCATTAAAGTACACTATTTACTTATATAAACTACCTGCTTATAAAATAGATTACTAAGTTAAACTAACTTTAGTTTAGAATACTTTTTACAGGCTATAGCATCTTTATAAGTAAATATAACACTTATTTAAAGCTTTATTTTATTAAAGTTGAAGATACTATTCTTGTAACAGCACAGGCAAGACAATAGATCTGAATGCGGTAGGAATCCACTCAGAGGCATATGGGAGTGCGTGGGGACTTGGAACCTGGGAATGCCATTGACACCTATAGGCCTTGTACAAAAGCATATCAGAAAACTACTAAGCTGGCTACAGGGGCGAGGTGCGACTAAATACATGGAGGAATAGGGGTACAGCAGGGGCAGGGCAGAGTCGGGGCCAGGTCGAGTCAGGGTCGAGCCAGAGTCGAGCCAGAGTCGAGCCAGAGTCGAGCCAGAGTCGGAGCCGATACGGGGACCCTTCGGATAGGTTCCGGGCGACCCGAGATGGAACGATTGATGAGAATCGTTACAATTCTTATAGATCTTATACTAGGTAATAGCGCTGTATATAAGCGTAAACTATTTTTCTACAACTATTAGATTCTAACACTAAGCTTTTTTATAGTTATACTTATAAAAAAGTTTTTTAAGCTTTATAGTCTTATTTACTCTAATATAGCTTAAATTACAAGAGCTTTATAGTTTATTTACTATATTTTTTATACATTTAAGTGAAGTAGATGCTTTATAATAACTAATTTTTATAAATTAGCTATATAGTTATGTTATAAACGTCTACTATAACATCTCTAAGCAAGTGTAGTCTTAGAGACTTTAAAAACTGCTATAGTAGCTTAAATGCTTAAATTTAGCTTTTTTAAGTTACTTTAAAAGCTAAAAGTATTTCACTTTTCTTATTAGTGTGTTAAAAGTTAATTAGTAGATGTATTATTAATTGTAAGGCCGCTAGTTGTACAAAGAGTGATATTACACTGTGAGGCTAGAAGCGGCCTATACTAGAGTCTCTATGCGCGACAGGTCAGCTGTTGTTTGATTATTCGCACGATTTTAGTTGTATTAGCTAAGTGGTACAGAGCTCTGTCTAGGCTGTCTTTATATTTATTGTCGCGTACAGCTATCCGTCTATATATATCCTTCTGCTGTGCTAGCTAGAAGGTTGCCCTTTTAGCAAACGCAACAGTTATGAGCCCAGTTTGCAGCGTAGTGTAGATGGTTAGCGCACGAAAATTTTTGCATCCCTGCTCTCCCTACTCCACTAATAGGATCGCATTATCCCGGAGCACTGCGTGTTTAATTCCTACGCTTAGCAAAGAGCATTTAGGCAGTGCGCCTATTACAGAGGCTACCTTGCATTTAGATCTGTCTCTAAGTTCTGTTGCTTGGGCTAAAGAGGAAGGGTGTGTTGAGGTTGTTTCACCATGTTTCACCTCTCTTGTTCTACGGTTTGAGCTGGGGGGTGTGTCGCGTACAGCTATCCGTCTATATATATCCTTCTGCTGTGCTAGCTGGAAGGCTGACCTTTTGGCAAACGCAACATTTATTAAAGTACAAGCTGCTAAAATTTCAATATCGTAGACTATTTGCTTGTATAGACTGCTTGCTTGTGACATACGTTAGTATATTATAACTAGTATTATTACAGAGGCCATTTACAACGCATCTTGCTAACAAACTAGTTCCGCCGCTATACTGTCGCATACACGTGAAGTTTCAAGTCCCAAATGGCCACATCTTCTGCCAAACATCTCTCTCCTGCTCAGTGCTTGCAAATTTCTTAATAACCTTGTCCTTCATCTGAGCTAATGTGTTTAGCGTCTCCTTGTATTGGTCTGACCTCACTATTCCCTGCTCAGGAAATAATCCACCAATATTCTCCCAAATTGAACGCATCGCTTCCATACCGCGTACTACACCTTCAACCTCAGCCTCGATTTCCTCCCGTTCCTTCAATGAAAAAGAGAATGGATAAGTTGAGCCTTTAGCTCCGGGAAGAGCGACCCATGTTGCCTCTAACTCAGCCACTTGCAATAGGTAGGATGCCTCCCCATCGATGAGGAGGTTACGTGCTAAGAGCAGAAGCAGGTAGCTCGTGGTTTGTTGGAACTCAAGGGCAGCGTAAAGTTGTGGGTTTTTATAGTGAATCAGAGTGTTGTAGAGAGAGCACAGTGATTGCTGTAAATATAAAGTCTCTGCTTGTTTCTTTGCGGTTGCTTCAAGCTTTTCTATGTCTTTTGGTAGCTGCGGCCGCTCTAAATTAGAGACCGGCGGGCCATCATAGTCGAGTATATGAGGTTGGCGGGCATGAAAGTAGAGAGGAGATAATTCGGTAGACTGCCAATCTATAAGGCCCACAACTTCAGTAGGTTCCGAAGGATTTACGAAGATGTTAGCAACGTGTAGGTCGCCATGCCAGAGATGCGCCGATGAAATGGTTCGATCCACAGGGAGAAGGAACCTGATTAACTTGAGATAGCAGTGCAATGCCTTAAGCTTTCTTCCTCTCGTCGGTTCGTAGGTTCCCGGACCACAGAGGGTTATTGGAGACTTGGGTAGGTGAGGAAGCTGGCTAACACATGCTATTTCTCGATGCCCAATTGCATTGTGATATTCCTCTAAAGAGTTCCCTTGTCCTTATTAGTTAAATGAGCCTCGTTTTAAAGATTGATATCTTACATGGTCCTCTGTCAAATTTAATAGTTGCCCTTCTGTTGTCAATTGATTCGCGTCCTGTAGATGGGCCAACCGCGAATTTTTCATCTACGATATCAACCCCATTTGCATCGACGTATAGCGGCTTATGTTCGGTTGATTTGTCTAGATCCTTTGCGTAATATAAACCTCCAAACTTCTTGAAGGAAACCGAGGTCCAAGCTTTCTGGAAACCAGCAATGGCCTTTACAACAGTAAGTTTGTCTTTTATACTCATACCTGGCCAAACGCGCTCGAGCTCGATTCCTTGAACCTTCTCCATGATAATATATTCTGCACCAACGGGATTCTCCTGGGCCATAGAATTCCAAGCCAAGACCCTGGGAACAGGAGTGCCAAGGGCATTCCGGGCCTGCAGCACGTTAGTACCTGAACATAACGACTCCTGAGACGAAGCGTACGAAATCCATTGTCGCAACTTCACTTGCAGTGGTAAAATGTGGTATGCCTGCATTTGGATTTGGAACTTTGGCCACAACGTGAGAGCCATTATCCATGGTTAGAAGCATACTTTTGTTGTACATGCCATCGGGATACTTTTCAATTCTAACGCATGATTTCGCTCCGATAGCTTCGGCAGCACAACGAACTAGTTCGTTGACATTGAAGCGGACTTGGCGCTGTGACATCTCATATCCTTCATCACATATGAAGCGACCTCGAGTGTAGTTGAAGAGATCATCGCTATAGTTCAGGCCTGATTGAATAAGTGACACGACCAACGCTTTCGGTACGAGATAACATACTAGGGAGCAACGCTTGTGAGACTGGTCGTGGAGAGTAGGGGCCTTGGGTTGCCATGGTTCTCTTGCTTAACACGTTCCAATTCTGGCCGTGTCTGATTAACACTGTCGTTTTCGGCATGATTATCGAACATTTTTCTCAATGCTGGTGGATATAACTAATAGGGCGCGTGTTATAAATTGGGTCGCGAAAATTTTAGCGTTGCCAAGAACTTGTCAGTCTATTATGTGCAAAAATTCGGAAAGTTGGCGTCCTGTTACGAATGACGACTCGAGCAGAACCCCAGACGTCGCAGAGCCCTCTAATAGGATGACTCTAGAGATAAGCGAGTCTACTTAGGACGATGAAGACCTAGGCGACAAAGCCTATTACAACACGGATTTATTAGCAGGGCTTGCTCTGCTTATTATATTCAGGTTTGCAGAACGAAAAGTTAAGCAGAATCTCCTCTTTCAGACGCGCTAGTTAGTTATAATTTCTTTTGATAAACCCTAGTAACGCTATTTCTCTATTACCTTATGCATTTCTTACATTCTTTTAAAAAAATGTATACCTAATATAAGTACACTTTTATGTTAATTTGCACGCAGTTTGCTTTAGCATGCGTTGTGTAAAACATGTTTAAATTATAGTTAGTTGCGTCTGTTCCACCTCTCTAGCCACATCGGTGTGTCGGGGATTGGCATCAGCCACATTGGTGTGTCGGGGATTTGCATCAGCCATATTGGTGTGTTGGGGATTGGCATCAGCCACATCGGTGTATCGGGGATTGGCATCAGTTACATTAGTATGTTAGGGATTAGCAGTTGCTCACACACCTAAGTTGCTTACTTTTGCTAAGACCACACCACAACAAACTCTATTATAGCCTGTAACAACCCGCTCTAGCACTATATAGTACAGTACAGCCTAGAACATTATTTAGATACTACTTCTACTTCTTGCTTACACGTTTACGCGTTATGCTAAGTCTAATTGCACTGTCTGCAGCGCCTTTAGGATAGCTCACCTACTGTAATAAAGTAGGCGCCCTGCCTGCCAAGCCGATACTATACAACTTTCCCTACTATACTGAAAGTGTGAAGCTATGTGAGGCACTAGAGGCATGAGGAGCTGGATTGAATGTATTGCTAGAGGAGTCCTTTGTAGGAGTCTATATATATGCGAAATAAGTGGGTAAGTCTTGGCAACAGACCATGCTAAGATGCATACGACTATGGTGCTGACGCATCCGACCATCGTGTGACAACACATCTGACTATTGTGTGACTATAGTGACGACGCATCTGAGTGTCACCACTGTAAACATATACTCTTCACTATTTCTATAAATTCTATTACATTAATATAATGTAACTTCTCTACACTAATGCTTACTAGATTAGTTACATCTAGTGCTAGTATATAATTACTAGATATAACATTACTAATAGTAAAGTCTATAACTTTTAACGTTAACAACTTAATACTACTAGTAATAATATTAGAGCTTATAATAGGCTAGAGAAGCCTTTAGTTAATCTAACTAGTTAAGTGCTTACAGCGCTTGTAACTTAGTAAATAAATAGTAATGTTACAATCCTTGCTTTATAGAAGCACACAGGTTAATATTACTTCCTATAGGAGTAAAGAACGGAGGGTAGGGGCCGACGGTAGGGTGTACAGTCCTACGTAATGGCTACTGGGCTTGTGGAGTATAGTAGGGTGATGTTACAGCCAACAGTCAGACCGTAATAACCTCACTAGCTGTCCCACACAGCCCGAACGATGTCGGATGGAAGGCGCTTAGCCCCGCGCTAAACGAGTCACGTGACAGGACAGATAAGGAATGGCTTTGGCTTTTAGACAAAAGCCTTGCGGAGTGCACTGTCTAATAGAGACTGAAGCATTGCAGGCAATGCAGGCATTGCAGGTGGTTGCAGGCAATGCATGCAACACCTGCAACACATGCAAACGCATGCAGACCCCATGTATATAGTCCTAATTATAACTATAGTTAGAAGGTTGTAATTACTATTAAGTCTATTCCTGCACTCTTTATTTAATAGACTAAGAAGCTGTAACACTTTTATAAAGAAGTCACTGCTGCCTTGTATATCTTGCACTATATATACCTCTACTTCTATCCCTACAGATCAGGTTTACTAGCTCCCTATACAGCCGCTGGGTTAAACCACAAGCCTGCCTACTCTTTATCTGCTATATCCTGCACTCTGCTTAACAGACTGTACACCTAATCTAGCTAAGTCCTCCCCTCCTGCTAACATACTAATATAGGCTAACATACTCTAAAGATACTATTTTATTAAAGTAAAGATTGTAACAGTAATCACCACTACCTACAAAGTATGGCAACTACCACCTTAGACATCGGCATGACAGGTGCTTTAGCCGCTGGCACAGGCTAGAACCCTACAGCAACTAAGGAAGCATAGAATTAGCAAATACTTTACCTCTAAAACAAGCTTAAACAGCTTAAACAGCACCTCTAGCTTTAAGCATAGTAAGAACCTTTAAACATCTATTAGATCTAAGCTTTATAGCTAAAAGTAGCTAACCTTAGAAATATTACTTAGAAAAAAACTAGTATTAAGTTAAAAAAGACCCTACGCCTAGCCCCCCCTAAAGCATTTAATAGTTCTGCTAAGAACCTAAAACCCTTCTTTACTAGATGCCACTTCTACATGTAATATAATAAAGGTGCCTTTAGAACAGACAAAAAAATAATTTTATAGATAAGCCTACACTTAAAAGAATTACCTGCTATTTAGTTTTAACCTTACACTAACAATTAGATAGACTATAAAGTAAATAGCAAACTTTTATTACTAAAAACATAGAAAGTCTTTAGCAGTATTAACTTATTTAAAGTAGCCCTAACTATAATTTATAGGCTAGTTAATAAAGAAAAATAAGTAGTTAACAGAATAAACACTCTCTAACAGAGCAACAGCTTTGTCTAACAATATGTGGCCTGCTTTAGGGAACTGCTAGCTATCTGCAGATAGATAGATAAGAAAGCTATAAAATAAATATTCTATAAAGAGCTCTTAAACACTATTAAGAATAAATTTATTTATACTAGAAAGCCTAAAAGCTTTAAGGATTATGTTAAGAAAGCGCTTATCTATAACAAAAGACATACTAAGCGCTGTAGTAAAAAAGAAAAAGGCTAGACAACTAAAAAACCTAATTAGTTCTAAAAAAAAAAAACCCTACAAGCTAACACTAAACCTATAGACCTTAGTTATGCTAAACATACACATAGCTTCTCTAAGAAAAAGAGCAATACCTCTAAAAGTGTAAAGCCACCTCTAAATAAGAAATAAAAAAATAGCTTAAAAAAAAGGCATACCTTAACTATAAAAAAGTAGGTTACTTTTGTTAGAAATACCTAAACTCTAAACAACTAGAGAATAAAGATAACAAATTAACTATAAAAGTAATGCATATAGATTAAGGCCTAACAGGACAGGAGATCTTAGACTAGCTAGACAAACGCCTCTGCTAGCAATACAGAGACAATTATAAATCTAAAAAATGCCTAATAAAATACTAGGAAGTTAAAGTATAAGACACTAACAAAGTCTTTAGGGCACTAGAACAAGCTGCTACTTATAAAGGATAGTAAGGCTATACTTAAGCTACAACATACATTATAAATGTTAAAAAAAGGAAAGAAAAGTTTTCTTTAAAACAACTAATAACAGAAATCTCTACTTAAGAGCTAAAATATTAATTTACTTATAGAGACTACTAGAAATACAGTAACACACACTATTTAAAAGACTGCAAAAAATTAATGTACAAAGTACACATTAACAACAACATTAAAACATACAGTATACTAAAAGAAATTGCTAAAACTTACTACACAGTTATAAATAAAGAAAAATAATAGAAAATATTTAAGAAAATCCTTAATAAAGAAGAAGGCTCTAACTAGTAGTACACACTACTAATAACACCTAAACTATATTAAGAACAAGCTAACACGCCTCCCTCTGTGTTAGCTATTACCTGTAAAGACCTAGAAACCTAACAAGACAAAGGATATTACATTCTCTATAAAAGTAGGCAACATAATAAATTCTAATGTACTTATTAGAATTACTTATTACAAATTATTAAAACTAAAGAATACCTAAGATAGACATAAGTTTAGCTAATACTAGTACAAAGCAACCTTAGGAAATGTCTTTATACCTAGTACCTATGCAGTAACAAGTATTGCACTAAACACTAGCTAACTAAACACAGGGCTAGCTAGTGGCCACATAGGACGCAGGAAAGCGCACTAGAGACTAACACACTAACAGGTATAACGTCTACCTGTAAAATACTACACTGTCTCTATTACAGGAACAGCATAGTCTATAAACAAGAACTATAGACAGAGTGCAACAATAAAGCAACATGCACGTTTTATTACTTTTAATAGAAGGCACATTAGTAAAACAACTAGATGCTATACCACTATAAAATAGAAAATGCCTAATGCACTATAACAAAGTGCATAATACTAGGACATTAAAAACAGGAAGACAGGAAATAGCATCTAGTAGCGTACTACTCTACTAAATTCTTAGGACCTAAGGTAGGCTATAGCATACCTAATACAAAATTAAAAGTAATACTAAACATAGTACAAGTATAGGTAACTAAATTATATAAGATAGCTAAACTCTTTAACATTATAATAGATTATGTAAATCTAGTTATGTTCTTAACTGTAAAAAAAACTCTTACTAATGCATGTAAGATAGGTAATAGAGCTTGCCTAGTTTAACTGCATTATTAAGCATGTCCTAGAAGCACAAAACTAGCAGGCTAACACTCTTAGCTATAGACTAGATTACTTTAATAAAAAAAATAAAAAAACTAAGAAATTTACCCTCTTTAAAAAGATAGAAAAAGAATAAGTATATAATAAACCTAAACTTATTAAGAAACTCTGCGCGCTTACTATAAGTAAATAAAGAAAAAAAACCTAATTTAAGAATATTATAACTCTTTAATGTTTAGACACTCTAGAATAAGTACTTTATAAACAAGACTATAAGCTGCTATACTTTAACGCATACCTAAAATAAAGCAATTATGTATAAAGATACTTAGAAAGTGTAACACTTATAATAAGAACAATCTCTAAAGACATAAGATGTATAGATACTTTCAACTAATTAAAGCTTTAAAGCAGCTATAAATAATAATTACAATAGACTTTATTACAGAACTTCCCCTGTCTAAAGAACTAGGAATAGAAAGAATGTGTAATATAATAACAGTAGCTCTTAATAAAACTATAAAGTATCTATATATATAGCTATTAGAAAAAACTATTATAGCTAAAAAATTTATCTATAAACTTAAACAGAATATAGTGTTAGTACATAGATGCCTTAGGACTATTATCTTTAATAAAAATAAGCTGTTTACTAGCAACTTTTAAAAGGTAGCTATAAAACACCTTAGCATAACACATAAGTTATTTACTGTATATTACTTATAAATAGACAGACAAACTAAATAGGTAAACGCTAAAGTAGAAAAGTACCTAAGAAAATACATCTTCTATAGTTAAGATAACTAGGCAGAATAGCTTCTAATAGGACAGCTAGCTATTAACACAGTAGAGTCTACTGTAATAAAGAAAACGCTATATAAAGCTAATTTTAGTTACAACCTCTATTTTACGCTACACAGAAATTAGCCTATAAATCTACTTAAATTAGTTAATTAGTTATTAAGTCTACTAAACATATATAAGAAGTTAGCAGTTAAAGCTAAATTTAGTTAAAAGATAATAAAACAATATGTAAACAAGTTATAACAACCTAGACTAGAAATTTAACTAGAAGACTATATGTATCTTAAAACTAAGAATTTTAAGATACTCTAGCCCTCTAGAAAGCTAATAGAAAAAAGGATAGAACTCTATAAAGTCTTATAGACTTAACAAGATAACTATAAGCTAAAGCTTTTTTTACATATAAAAATACACCTATAGTTTTATGTTTCTAAACTAAAAAAAAGCACTTAAAAAAATCTCTTTATTTACATAAAAATAAAAAGAAATAAAGACTAAATATAAAGTTAAATAAATTATTAGTAATTAAAGAAATAAGAAAAAGTTTTTAGTAAAATAAAAAAATAGCTTACTAGCAAAAATACATAGAAACTAGCTAAGAATTTGCAGAATGCGCAGCTGTTAGTGTAAAAGTACCTCTAAGCTTATTTAAAAAAAACTAGCTAGGTAATAAGGCACCTATCTTAAAAGAAGCAGCTAAGTTATTACTAGATAGCAGCAGCCTTTAGAGACAAGACTTTGCTAAAAAAGGTTAAGAAAGTAAATAGCCTTTTACCTTAGCCTTAAGAGCCTCTATCTTATTTAAGGAAGAGAGGTCCCCCTTTAAATACTTTACACGCTAAGCTTCTAACAGATCTAGTAATTTTTAAATATAATCCTGTTTAGAACGCTCTCTATTCTTTACCTTTACTATTTTCTTTAGTAAACAGATTTACTTTTAAAGCTATGTAAACTATTTATTAGAAAGCTTTTAGTCTTAGACTCTTAAGGCCTATCTCCCTGCGACTGCTGCGGGTCAGGCCTATCCGATATATGGCCACGGATCACTGGCTTTCCGTAACCCTAACTTCCTTATTCTGTTTAGCGCGTCGTCTAAGCGAGCAGCGAACGACTGGAATCCGTCAAACAGAACCCCTGGAATCCGTCCCCCATCCTGTGCCTAGATCCTATTATAATAGTAGGCAAACTTTTAGGCTTTAACCTAAACTTGCCCCCGCCAGTGTTTTTTTTGCAAAAATGTACAGATGTGGTGGTGTTTTGCCGCAACCCTAACTGCGCGGTGGATTTTGATTTTCCTGCGCGCGCAGGCATCGCGCGCGCATTGCCGCACCAGCTACCAGCGCCCCGCCCGCAGACCACCACCTAACCCAGCGACCACAACAACAACCGTGACTGACAACACAGCTCTCTACTTCCTTGCTGTGCTCATGGCATTAATTCTCTAGCGCAGCGACAGCGCTGTTAATTTTATTATTCCTTTTGCTAGGAAACGCGCATAGGGTCTGCAGTTTGCGCCCTAGCGACAAGCCTGCGCCCGCAGACCACGACAATAAAACCACGACAACTACAACAATCACCAACACAATAGGTTTTTCCACCTTCTAGCTGTGCCTAGGACATTAATACCTTAGCCTAGCGACTGCGCAGTAGATTTTGATTTTCCTTTGCAGC